GTGCTCTTTGCAGTAGATTCGTTGAATCTCATAGTTAACGTACCAGGATTTGCGTCCTGGAGCGATGCAGGATTGTCAGGGCGCACCAGGCACGTTGACTCGCGGTGTTGAAATCCCAGGAGTGGTGTTCTGGCGCGACTCAGACTCGCCGAGACGTAACAGTCAGGTGAATTCGTGGCTTTGAAAGCCTGGGGGTGGTCATTTGGCACGCTTCAAGATGTTCACGCGGTTGCTCCCCAACGGGGCAATTTTTTCGGTTCAAATGACTCATTTCAAGGGCCTATGAAGAGGGATATTGGAGGGAGGGTGTATTTTTCAGCATCGTTGATGAATCTTGAGTTTACAATGGTCCTCCTTCTCCTCCTCCTCCTCCTCCTCCTTCCCCTCCGCTCAAGAAGGGGCGGGGAATATGGGCTCGCGGGCCCGTGATGGGGGAGGCGCAGGGGTGCCCACACAGGGGACCACTCTGGCGAAAGGTCATTCTTACGCGAAGCCGGCTCCATCTTTCCCCTGGCTCTCGGGTCAGTTCGGGACGACCCGGGCACCCCCAGAACGCCCTGGGCGAAGCGCAGCTGTTGGAATGCATCTAGAGGCATGAAAACCGCCGAGAATCGACAAATAAAATCGGAGTGGGCATGATTTACGTCTGCGTGGATAGCATGTATTAGTCTTGCCTGCATCTCATGACCATACAGCTTGTTAGCACGAGTATTTGTTTTACTCCGTGAGAACATGCAATCTGGAATGAAAACAAAGAGCCAGACGGAAATCAGGCCCGAGGCCCCAGACAGCGCCCTCGCGCGTTCAGATTCCACGGGGGTGGGGGTTGTGGTCATTTCGTCCTGGGTACAGTCGGGTCTAGGTCAGAATAAAATGATTCAAGAGCAAAGGACCCCGCGCCAGCCAAAACAAACAGAACATCCAAGGGCACCCTTCCCAGGATGCGCAAGAGCACCCAACAAACGCAAAGAACACGAGGGTACCCTCACCGAACCGACCTCGATGTCATATTTTGGTCCGACGCTGAGCATCGACACGGAATGGCACCGGTGCGTCGGGGTTTCGCCTGGTGGGCGGCCGTGGGCGCCCTGCGCGCTGGCTGGGCGTGCTGACAGTTCGCCTGGCCGGCGGTCAGAACCTGCGTCGGACCGGTCCGCATCGGCACGGGTCAAAGATCGGATCGGACGGGCCGCGCCAAGCTGAACAACAACGCCATGCACGCATCGGGCCGCAACGGATCGTCGGGATGTCGGAAGCAAATCGGCTCGGGCTGGCCTAAGTCGATATCGAATCAGATCGATCGCATTCGGCGGTTTTATGGCCATGGCTCGGGCCTCGGAAGCCGTTCGGGGCGCTCTCGGCGAGGCGGAGCTGCTGGAAAACATCTCGAGGCCAGAAAAACTTCAAGAGCCAGCGAATACGCTGGAAAACTCCCGAAAAGGAGGAGAAAGAGGAGGAGGAGGAGGAGGAGGAGGAGGAGGAGGAGGAGGAGGAGGAGAAGGAGGAGGAGGAGGGGGAGGAGGAGGAGGGGGAGGAGGAGGAGGAGGAGGTTGGAACGTCTGAGGGGACCGCTCGTCATCCCGAACAACTGCCGCTGACGGCAAGGCCTCCTGCGGCGCTTACCGCCGAGGGGCAGCTCGACAGCTCCAAGAGCCGCGCGAGCAAGCGAGCGAGCGTCATCACCGTTAGAAGGGAGACAGCGACTCTTACTCGCTTGGTGAGCTAACCGGGACAACTGGAAATAGATCGCCGTATACTTAAAAACCTCAGGAGGAAGTGGAGGAGCAGAAGGAGGAGGCGAGCCCGCGAGAGGAGGCGAGCCCGCGAGGAGGCGGAGGAGGAGGAAGAGGAAGAGGAGCAGAGAAGGACGAGGAGGAGGAGGAGGAGGAGGAAGAGAAGGAGGGGGAGCAGGAGGAGGGGGAAGAGGAGGAGGAGGAGGAGGAGGCGAGCCCTCCTGCGAGTGCAGGCAGATCTCGCTCCAGGAGACCCGGGGCGTGAGCACCTTCCACAGCGCAGGAGGCTGGGGCGGCACAGGCGAAGGGGCAGCGTGGCAACGAGGGGGCGTGGCAGCAGAAGGGTCGACGCAGCGCTGAGCAACGTAAGCGAACGTGAAAGCCAGCCAGGTATAGTGGGACGCAGAGGGACATACTGTTACTATGGTGTCGTCCTCCCAGGCGTGCGTCCGACACGGGTATGCAGTGCAAGCATACTTTAGTAGATCGTTGCCCGACCGGTATGGCCAGCCCACGCCCGCCACGGAGCTTACACGATGAGATTTCGCACTGCCAGGGGGAACGCCAAATGAGGATCGAAGGGGCTCGTCATGCCACGGCGGGCCTCGGCCACGAACAGGTTCCCCAACCTAGGCCTAAGGAACGGCCCGGAATCCGAGCCCCTCCTGAGCCCAAAGTGGTCCTGACCTCAGCAGCGCCTCGACTGTAGAATGTGATTGTGGTGATTTGTTGTATACGTCATACGCTTCACAGGTCGGCATCACCAACTTTCCTACTCTAGGCCTCTTGATCACAAACTGAGCGGCTTAGGAAGCCTCTGCTGGATTGGGATGAAAGAGCGCCTACGGTCTGGCACACCGAGATCTATACGAGACATCAAACCACGGTGGTGAGCAGCACGCCTACAGTCAAGCACACCATCACCCCCAAGAACATGAAGCCCTACAGGAGCGTCGCATAATAACAACAAGCTGCGCACATAAACGGTCGGAGCCCCGCGCGGATTTCTTGGATCGGCGCTGGAGGCGCCGCCAGGGGGGTCCGATGTCGATCCAACAAATCCGCGCGGATTTCCGACAGTCTATGTCTATGCTGCTGATACTTCTCCACATACCCCATTGGGTATGATCTCCTGCCCCATTCTCCACCAGCTGCATGTCTGCTCGCGACGTAGGCCCCGAGAGCTCCGACCCCTTCCCAGGGGACGATTCTTCATCCCGAGCAACTTTTCGACGGTCCCTGGGCCAATGGGGGAGCCCATGCACACGCAGATTGCGAACAAAAACGTCCGACGTGTTTTTCCACGACGCCGTGGTAGACTGATTGCTCATCCATGCCCTGCACAGGGCCGAGCAGCCGACAAGCTTGCTCGCGTGGCGCTTCGCTGCGCCAGGGGGGTCGACGTCTGGCCTCCTGGGGTGCGCCCACGCGATGAATCCGAGGCGGATCCAGCCGTGGCCACGAGGACGCCCCACAAAGGAACACCTGCAAACCAAACATGTTTAGTCCATCCTCGAGCCTCAAGGATCTGAGTACCTGGTCCCTACCCGCTGGCGCAGGGGGAGCTCCTGCTCGACCTCTTCCATGGGGGCAGCTTCTGGCCCCGATTCACATTTTACGACCCCGGGCCCCGTCAACTGCACCCGAAGGCAGGAAATGTGCCAGGCTGCCTCTTGCATGGGGCGTAGTGCCCTGCCCCCCGGACCAGCACTTCATCCCGGATCGTTTTCTGGGGCCACTCTTGGGGCTCTCTTGGGCCATCTTGGACCGCGAACGGGACCGTCTTGGTCCCCGGGCCAGTTGGTCCCCGGGCCAGTTGGCGCCGTCGGGCCGCGAAGAGAACAGCAATCCGACCTCCAGGCGCCCCCCCTTTCGTTGCTGGGAGCAGTTCTCCTCACGCTGGCAAGGTCCCCTCCCTCTCCCCGCCTGGCCCCGTTCCTGCGCACGGGCACAGGTATCCGACGTCTTGTCCTGCTGTTGCTCCATTGTGCGCTGCCCCCAGAGGTACCTCAGCACCACCCCTGACGGGCACCCCACGATCGGATACTAGACAATGCTGACGTGTTTTGTGTGCCGAGCGCAAGTAGCTTTCGCCATCCTGGGGTTCTTCAGCCTGACTGGCCCTGCGCAGAAGCATTGGATGAAGGTGCCCAGACCACCGTCCCCATGTGTTCCTGACGTGGACCGCAGATGTCTCCACCCCATCCCCAGGGACCGCTTTTCCATCCCGAATCGTTTTCAGCCTGTCCTGGGGCCCGGCGAGGGCACTGGGCAGGCCGAGCATCCTCAAAAAACCTTATGTCGTGTTTTGGCTGTATGGCACGAGTGGGTCTAGAGCACTCGCATAAACGGCGCCCCGAAACATGTAAGAACATGCAGGGCCCTGACCGATGTAGATCGTGGGCGAGTTCCTCCGCACCACCCTGACGGATGTCCACCTAGTGGACGCGGACCTTGATCGACGCAGGACGTTGGTGCGTTGCTGTCACGTCCTGGCGCCACCCCGCGAGCAAGGTGACGCCGTCCTGCCTCTGCCCTGCGCGCTGCCGAAATACCCAACCACGGGGTAATTGCCCGCATCGGCGGCGACGAGTCCCGACCCGCTGCCCTAGAGGCCTCCTAGATGCGGTCCGAGAACGTGGGGTCGGAGGACCGCACCGTGCGGCTCGATGTGGAGCCCGACTTTCTCCACGCCGACGTCACCGAGGCATGGCAAACGTCGCCGATTGGTGGACGATACATCGGTAATGCATCGGCGATGTGGCGCGATCCTTCGACACCATCTACTCGGGCCCCATCTGAAGGCCTAAATCCTTGGGGCCGGCTTTTCACCCAGTGCCGTTCCTTCCGAGCCCCGTACGAGGGAACTTGTATCCACCAAGGCACTGGCACGCCCAGAGAAACTTCAGCCACGGCACGAGACGTCGTCCATCACCCGTCCCCTCCAGCTGGAATGTTTACAATAATCCTTTGTACTGTCCTGGTTTCCGGGGCAATGATTTGTGGACAGCCCTTGGGGCTCGGCAGCGGCTACCGAAAAAGGCCGAATACCTTCCGCTGCGACTTCTGGCAATTTGCCATCGCTCGGACGTCCTTTCCAAACTCATGTTTCGGTGTTGTGCGTGTCCGTTTTTTTGGGGGCTCGATAATCGAGGATGCTCCTCGCCTCTTCCTCCTCCTCCTCCTCCTCCTCCTCCTCCTCCTCCCTCCTCCTCCTGCCTCCTCCTCCTCCTGCTCCTCCTTTTCCTCCTTTTCCTCCTCCTCCTTCTCCTCCTCCTCCCCCTCCTCTCTCCTCCTCCTCCTCCCTCCTTCTCATCCTCCGCCTCCTCCTCCTCCTCCTCCTCCTCCTCCTCCTCCTCCTCCTCCTCTCCTCCGCCTCCCCCATAATCATCATCATCATCATCATCATCATCACATCGTCATCACCGTCATCACCATCACCATCATCATCATCATCATCACCACCACCACCACCACCCCCACCACCACCACCACCACCACCATCATCTTATCATCATCATCGCCATCATCATCATCAGCATCATCATCAGCATCATCATCATCATCGCCATCATCATCATCATCACCATCATCATCATCATCATCATCATCTTCATCGTCATCGTCATCATCATCACAATCATCATCATCACCATCATCATCACCACCACAGTCACCATCATCACCATCATCGTCACCACCATCATCGTCCTCCTCCACCTCCTCATCATCATCATCATCACCACCACCACCCCCACC